GTTATTATTTACTATAATACTTGACAAGCCCAATACAATACCCACTATGTCACCTAACTACCTCAGATGGACCTTAGATTAGGATTGGCCTGGCCAAAGATCAAGAAGTTTCATGAGACCTTGAGCTGCCTTTTCAAAAATAGAATTATTAGAACCCCTATCTCGAAAGAAAGAATAAAACTCTTGGGAAAACTATACCTGTGACTAAGGACATAAATTTTCCTAAGTTTCTAAAACTGATTATTCTGAGCAATGAATATAATTTTGACCTCTAGGCTCAAGAAAGCTAAGAGGTCACAAGCTTGATATTTCCTTATTAAGCTCCCTTATTATTAATCATAATTAATGCTCACATAGTACTTTAAGATTTATGAAGTACCTTAGATTCATTATCTCATTTGATCCTTACAATAATACTCATGGTAGAGTGGGGAGAATAATACTGACTCTAAAGTCAGAGGATCTGGGTTCCAATCCATCCTCTGATGTTTATTACCTGTGTGAACTTGGGTAAATTACTTAGTCTACCTAAACTTCAGGTTCTGTAAAATGAGGTGGTTGGAATAGAAGACCTCTAAATTCCCATTCAATTCTAGATCTATAAGCCATAGGGGTAGGTTCATATCATCATCATCATCATCATCATCATCATCATCATCATCATTCCCATTTAACAGATGAGGAATCTGAGGCTCAGATACTTGCCCTAGGTGACATAGCTAGTTAGTGTTTGATGTAGGATTTGAACCCTCTTCTTGACCTCTCTTCTTGATGAGGTTCAGCACATTATACTATGATGCCTTCCAGATTATAAGAAAGTAAGTGCTTGGGAAAGTTACAGAGTTTGAAGAGTTCTCCCTTCTTATTACCAGATGCAATGAACTGGTTAAGCAATATAGGATAGGATTTATAAATTAATTAGACCCCTTTTCCTTGTTAATGAAAATGCAAGGGGTTTAATTTCAATAGTCAGAGAATAAAGAAGCACCATAGCAGAGCACAATGGGAGAAAGTGCGTATGCTTCTGTATGAGTGTTTTGGAAACGAACAGGTAATAAGCTGGAGGCAGGGGAAAATAGTCTGGCAAAACATAGAGCTCCGCATAATGAACTTTTTTAAGCAAGCATTTATTTTTAATTGTTTTGCATTGATAACTTTATACTCTTATGAATTTGGGGAAAGCAGGGAACATTCATCATGCTTTTTTATTCAAGAGATACATTTAGCATGGTCTTAGGTTATAAGAAGCTACTTTTCTCCAGCCAAATTAAATTTGGCTTCAGCAATGCATGAGAATCAAATATTTCACTCATTCAGCATACAACCCTACTTGAATGAATGAGTGAAAAAGCACTTATTAAGAGCTTACTATGTGCAAAGCACTGTACTAAGCATTGGAGATACAAGTAGAAAAGGAAAAATAATGCCTCCTCAGGGAACTCACATTCTAATGAAAGAGATAGATATATATATATATATATATATATATATATATATATATGCATTATATTATATATGCACATATATACATACATATGTATTTTAGCAGTGAGATGGAAAGGTCCCATGGTGCTTAGAGTACAGCAGCAAAGCAGATGGTAATGCATCTTCTTATTGTCATTTCCGCTGTTAAGTTCATATCTGTTTCTGATACTGAACCAGTTCAAAACAAGATGAAAAATGGTCAAAATATTTGCTTCATCAGCTACTTCATCTTACAGGGAATAGTATATAGGATCCCCAAAGTATCTTTAAATATCCATTAAACAGCCATTTAGCAGATCTTTAAGAAGAGATTTTCTGCTACTTGGTCAAGTCACTTTTCCCTCTCTGGTTGTCAGTTTCCTTATTTATAAATTAAAGGGTTGGAATAGATGATCTTTAAGGATCCTTCCAGTTCAAAGTTCTGAAAGACTATGATCTTTGATTTTATAAATCGTGACAGATATAATATCTGTTGTATAAAAATGAGGAAAGGATACAATAAGCAACATTAATGTTTGGATTTTCATATATCTCTTAAAATGATGTCACTTTAACATACGAATTAAGTATTTAAACACGTTTTTAAAATCTCAAATGAACAAGTATTTATTCATTTAGTATCAACTATACACAAAGTTAAAAGGAAAAAGACAGTCCCTATCCACCAGGAGCTTACAAAACATCAAAAGTGAAAATTAGCTTCTTTTATTTTTGGAAATCCAAACAGAATAATAAGGAACCAATATCACTGTATTTTACATTTTAAAATAATGTCTATGAGTCCAAAATAGGTCTATGAATCAAAAACCAAACAGGAATGGTTTTATTTTGACTACGTTCTCCCTAGGATTAGGAAGGAAGGAAGGAAGGAAAGAAGGTGTGAAGGAAGAAAAGAAGGAAGGAAGGAAGGTAGGAGGGAAGAAAAGAAGAAGGGAAGAAGGGAGGGAGGAAGAAAGCAAAGGAGGAAGGAAGAGAGGAAGAGAAAGGGAAGGAAGGGAAAGGAGGAAAGAAGGAGGAGGGAATATTATTTAGACTGTGCAATTATTTTGTCACTAATGACAAATAGAAACTCTAGAAATTCCCTAGAAAATTAAAATAGACATGGATCCTTGCCCTAGGCTCTAGTTCTTTGGCTTTAGACCATTGTTCACCTGCGATGATTTCAGGCAACGAGTGGCTATGTCATCACATCATAATGCGCTGGCAATCTGCTTGTCAACACAAGTTTTTATCTCTCTCTCTTCCTGCTAATTGTTTTCAATGAAAGGCCTTCTGTTTACTATCTAGTAGCTGTGCTGTGGTTTAAAGTGTCCCCTTGTTCTGGCTCAGGAGTTATTAAGCTCTGAGAAGCTGCAGCTGCTGTTCACAAATGGCTCCAACAGCCCCTTGGAAACACTAGAAAGCAGGAGCCTTGTTGACTAATCTTACTGAGGCCATGGCAGGAGTGTGGATATCACTTCAGTGTAGGCTGTATTAATCATAACTTTCTCAGATAACAGCAATGTGGGAATTTTCTAAAAGCATGTCATCAGGCTCCATCACCTAAGGAAGACATAAACAAGTCTGTGATTTGCACTTCCATTGGAGCAGAGGAAATTCCCAGATCTATTCAGGTCAATGCAACAGACGTACCTCAAGTGTATACATGGATGAGGCAGTCTTGTGTGGTGTTGTGGAAAAAAAGAACTAGAAAATGGGGGTTCTGCTGCCAAGTAGCTGAGCCTCAGTTTCTTCAATATGTATGCAATTGTGCAAATGGAGGGGGGGGTGGAATACATGATCTTTGAGGCTCTTTTCAGTGTCAGTTTTCTATGGTTTCGTGATTTTATGTGCAAAACACTTTAACACCTGATACAAGCTCTCCTTTGAGAAGCTAACAGCCTAGTGGGTCTGACATAGCACTGTTTATTTTATTTAACCTTGAAGTGGTTAAACTTTCATAGGATCATAGAAATAGAAGAGACCTTAAGATCCCTTCTAGTCAAATCCCTCCTCAATTTACAGATGAGAAAAATGAAGTCCAGAAAAGTTAAGTGACTAGTCTAAGGTCACATACATTGTCTATTCAAATTCATGTACTCTGACTCCAAAGCAGAGACATGGTAGAGCCAACTGAAGCTAGCTTAGAAAAGCTGATTGTTAAATTTTCAGTGTGAGCATTTATGCTTCAGAAATTGGGAAAGATTACAAATCAGGGCTTGATTTATTATTTTGTTGATTGTCTAGATTTAATAAAGTAATGGAAGAAATGTTAACATTGCAGATTAAACTTAAAGTGTGTCATGCACATCTTTTTTTTTTCAGAAAGTCAGTTGTTAAACATTTACCAGCACAGCCTTGCTCCAGTCATCAAACTTTTCACTGCACCTATTTCCACTGCTCATCATTCTTCAAGTGTAATAATAATTAACAACAACAACAACTGACATTTAAATATAGAGCTTTAAGGTCTGCAAAGCACATGGTACTCACTATCTCATTTGGGATGTGCCTTAAGTACATTGAATAATTTAAAATACTGGAGATCAAGCTTGACAATTTTTCTTTGAGACAGACAATGAAAAACTAGTACTTTCTTCACTCTCCTTGAAGGGTATGGAGGCCAGCTTTCATTAATTTCCTAGGCTAGAGCAAAGTTTTTGTAAAAGTTTCAATCAACATTACATTCTGGTTCTGATGATTTTTCTGCCAGTCTTTTAAAATAAGAGAATTGAGCTCAAATAGAAATGCTTAAACCCAGGTTATTATGACATGCTAGAATAAGGCTGTTCTCATGTAAACTATAAATCTTAACCAATCATGAAATACTCCACAGGTTTTGTAAATTACTTAGTAGTCTTTGTCTCAGATGCTGCATCTCCATAGCAGAAGGCCAGTAGCTCAGGCTGACATTTGCTTTTAAAGTCTGGACAACCCGGTTTTCAGAGAAACTATATTCATACTGGATGAAGCTACTGAAGAATTAGATGAAATATGTACAACAAAAGGAAATCTTTTTTACCTTCACTGAACTATAATCTCTGAAAAGTAAAGGTTTTTTCCCCTTTGCTCACAATCCTTTTTCATTATGATTGTGCTTGGCTAAAATAAGTAGTTGTCTATTGCCCAAAGCTCTGCCTCTTACTCAAACACCGTGGTAGGGAAAACAGCCAAAAATAGAACATATCGTCAGTCTAGCCCATGGCTGCCTACCTTGCTTTTAAATGGGAATTATCTGGGTTATTCGGCAGGAAATAACTGGACAAGAAAAGCAAGAGGAATGGGAGAACAAAAAATTGCTTTCATGTAGTCCTTTCTTAATTGTTTTTAACACATAGTTTTACTATTTTTAAAAGTCCTTCATATTTTAACGCTGAGGCAGATGTCTAATTTTAAAACCATCCTGCTTTACCTTGTGATTCTTAATTCACATAACTGGAAGTTGTTATATTTTGAGGGACAATATTCCACATTACTAATTTGAACTCAATCTTATAGATTTGGAAATATGAAACATTATAGGAAGACAAACTTGCCATTTTGCTGGTAGGCAGAGTCTACATTTTGCCCAATTCCTGGAAAGCAATTTTAAAGAGATTTGTGGTATCCTTCCATAGTTAGCCTTTCTTCTTTGAATCTGTTAAAAAATAAAACAAGATAATATTTAAAACTTCTGAATAGTGTTAATTAGACATTTTAGGTACTATAAAGATAAAAGCTTTACTTTTAATATAACTGATTACTTCCAGTTTAAGCTGTATCTATCTTGTTTATACATAGCTGTTTGCACGTTAGATTGTGAGCTTTTTGAGACCAGGACTGTTTTTGTCATTTTTTAATATCTCCAGTACCTGGCACATAGTAGGTACTTAATAATTGTTTGTTGACATATATGGGATCTAGTTAACTTTAGGAAAATATAAAAGGTCATTTATGGTATAACTAACAAAAAATGAAACAGTATGTGTTCTAAATCTACCTCTAGATTCCTCTTACTGATTCTATACCTCCAGATCTTATTTCCAGTGAAAAATGTGGTCAACCCAGTTGTAGGATCACAAATGGCAGCATCTATCTTTTTAATGTTTTGGGGAAATCCAAGTTCATTAAGGTCCTTGGAACACCCATACAGGATTGCATGGCCTTGAAGAGCCCATGATTTTTGTCCTGTATAAAGCACTGATTTAAAAAAAAAAAAATACTTGTACTTCATAGTAATGTTGAGAGAATACACTTGAGGCATGCCTGAGTGAAGTGGCATGAACACATCTCAATTTAAATGAAATCATTTCAATCTATATATTCTTAAGATAGCAATCAAACCTTTAAAGCATTTCAATGTAAATTCAACAGCAAACTACAAAAAGAATGCACCTAAGGAGATGCATGCCTTAAAAAAAAAAGTGGGGGGCAGGAAGTAGCCAGGAAGGGTGAGAGCATGATGGATAACTCCCATGGTCCACTGATACCCAGCCATATCAAGAGACGTAAATGAAAGCTTTGAGAATTTGGAATGTCCTTTAGGGAGGACATATGACTAGAAAGTGGGGATCATTTGTGATCTGCACCACAGGAGGGAGTGGCTACATCAGGGAGGTCAGAAACCAAGCAAACTATCAAAAGTATGTGTTCACTAAATAGTTGAAAACATGGCTGTGCCAGGTACTGCTGGAAGGGTACTCTGTGCAGAGCCAGTCCTAAGTAAAATGGTGAAGGGGTCAATTTCATCTTTGGTGCCTCCCATGTCCCCTTCCACCTTTCCTCTCAAAGACTCCTTTTCTCACCTTCAAGGCCTTGCCTCCCCAGGCACTACTCTGTGATCAATCCCATGAGGCCTTGCTCTAATCCTCTACTCCCCTCCCAAAGCATTAGTTATTAAATTCTTAAGGAACACTATCACTCCTAGACATTTGCATGTTAACAGCATACTTCTGAAGGCAAAAAAATCCCCAAAAACCCCAAATAAAAACCCTTCAACATCTGAAGGAATGACTCTCTATTAGTAACATTTTAGACAATGTGACTACCCCTCAGGCACACTATTCAGCTCCCAGGTCAATTCTAAACATGTGAGATAATTAATACAAAGAGTATATGCATATATATATACACATATATCCATATTTATTCAGACATGTACAATACAATAAATATGTATGTGTATATAGATATGCAGTGTATACTTATACGCACACATGTGTCATGTACTCATGTCTTGTGATCATGTGTAGTGTATATATGTATGCATGTGTGTATGCAAATGCAATGTATATATTTACAAAGTAACATTTAGGCTATGAAGGAAGTAGAAGAAACCATTCACCTCTGAATAGAACTCTAAAACCCTTTTCAGAGTCTTCATATGCTGCATCAATCTGGGTGGGAAGATCTGGCCAAAATGAATGGATGAGCAGTGGTTTTTCTTCATCCACGCGTGGATGCTGCCTCCAGAAAAACCTGATTTTAGAAAGCAAGATGAGATAGGTGGGTAATGCTAAATTACTATCATTCTACCGCGTTGTCATAAGTCTCATCACCGTACTATAGTGAGGATAATTGAGGAGCCCACAAATGAATACTACATTTTAATAAAAGAACTAGTGAAAATATGCTAGAAAAATTCACAAGAGATGAACATTTAGATCACAAACAGTAGGGGCTTGGCTATCACCTGAAAACTACTGAAAGGTCAAGGCTAAGGAGCTGTATAGGAACCATCTTTTTTTTGGAATAGAAGAAGGCAAAGGATCTATGGTCCCATGATTCTGTGAACATCTGGCCTTTGACCATTACAAAGTAGATTGTGGTTTGTAAAAAGCTTAACTGAAACTGGCATATTTCCTGCCTCATTTATGAAATGTTTATATGTGCTAGGTCTAGGGGAAATGCCAAGATAATCACAGCATTGTCTCTGACCTCTATCCTTCCTGGAGTTTATGATTGATATGAGCAATATTGCATAGGAAGAAGAGAGAAGACTTGATGACTCGATGGATATAGTAGATGTAGTAGAAAAAGAGGCAACTGGGAGTCAGGGAGGTGATGTAATCCAGTGGAAAGAACATGGGACTGGTAGTCAGGAGGCCCGAGTCCAGGATCTACAACTAGTTTTCTGTGTGACCTTAGACAAACTACTTAGTCTTTCTGGGTTTCAGCTATTCCATCTGTAGAATGAGGTCCTGTATAACTCTTTGTCCTGTATAAAGCATTGATTTTTTTTTTAAATGACTTTTACTTCATTGCAATGTTGAGGCAAGCCCGAGTGAAGTGGCATGAATACATCTCAATTTAAATGAAATTATTTCAGCCTGTAGATTTATTGATTTTAAAAATAGTAATCAAATATTTAAAGCATTTCAATGGTAAATTCAACAGCAAGCTACAAAAAGAATGTACCTAAGGTGATGTATACCTTAAAAAAGAGTTGGGGTAGGAGTAGGAACTAATCCTTTGGAGAGGTGGGTGTGATGGAGAACATTCATGCTCCACTGACACCTATGCCATGGGGGGAGGGGGCATTATATCAATGTAATTACATCAAAGTATATCAAGTAATGTTCCCTTTCAGCCCTAATATTCTGTTTCTACAAGCTATATTAAAGAGTACAATAGATACCCAAGGATTTATCTGGCAGTTTAGAGCTCTTAGTACCCTAAAGTAACCATAGGGCCCCAATGCCATTGTATAATAGGGATTTTATGTTACAAAAAAAAGTAAGCTATAGGAATGAAATGCATCGGTGTGACATATTTTCTTAAAGACAATTTTTTTTCTCCAAGTAGCTCAGTAAGGGCACCAATTGTGAATTTTGATTCACATGTCTCTGGAATCCAGTCATCTTATGGTCCTTTACCTGGATCAGAAATAAGAGCACAATCCAGAAGTCTCCTTTCAATTGTTTTATACTTATCTCTGTTCTCTCTTAATGTTAGAAAATACTCATAAACTAAAACATAGTAGGAAAAACAGAGGGAAAATTTGCAAAGCACCCACCATATACTACCTTGCATTTCTCAATGGCATGTGGAGGGAAAAGCTTTAAAGGGAATTTGATCTCTGAGCAACTTAGCTATTCTAGTCATCCCAGACAATTCAGAAGGACTTATGATGAAAAATGCTATCCTTACCCAGAGAAAGAACTTATAGTTTCTGAATGCAGATTAAAGCATACTTTTTTTTTTGTGAGGCAATGGGGTGAAGTGACTTGCCCAGAGTCACACAGCTAGTAAGTGTCAAGTGTTGGAGGCCAGATTTGAACTCAAGTTTTCCTGAATCCAGGGCTGGTGCTCCATCTACTGTACCATCTAGCTGCCCCCACCCCCCGCCCAAGCATACTTTTTAAAAACTTTATTTTTCTTGTTTTCTTTTTGGTTTGTGTTTTCTTTCACAACGTGTCTAATACGTAAATACATTTTGCATGACTGCACACGTAGAATTATATCAAATGGCTTGCCTTCTCAAGGAGGGGGAAAAGGGAAGAAGACAGGGAGAGAATTTGGAACTCAATTTTTTTAAAATTTAAAATTGTTATTGAATATAATTGGAAAAAATAAAATGTAAAATGTTTCATTTAAAAAAATAAAGAGAAGTTGATGAGGACTATAGTTTGAAGAGAGGAGGATTCATTTGAGAATAACAAAATGCATATTCTTTCTAGTCCCAGCTCAGCCACTGACTTATTGTAACATCTCCTTAGACAAGAAACTCCCAAATGAGTTGTTCAGAGAAAATGAGCTAACAATATGAAAGCAACTTTATTATTCTGGAAGTAAAAGCAGTCATTATACAATTTATTATTAACTTATTCTTAGTCAGAGAGGCAGTGTGGTCTATGATACATGTAAAATTCCTTGCACTATGTAAATGTCAATTACGTGATTATTAATAGTAGCAGTAGAAAGACCTGGGCTTGTCAAGTTCTATATCTGATGCCTACCACCTGTGTGACCATAGGCCAATTATTTCATTTCTCAGTGTCCCAGGTAATTCTCTAAGACAAATGAGTTACAACTGAGTTACAATCTACATTGGTGGAGGAAGTTTCTACAGACTAAGTCCTCCCTATACTAATGAAATCACGGGTTTAAACCAAAAAAGAAAATGTTTAATTCCTTTTTTTTAAAGGCAATTGAGATTAAGTGACTTACCCAGGGTCACATAGCTAGTAATTGTCAAGTGTTTGGTCTAAGGCCATATTTGAACTCAAGTACTCCTGACTTCAGGGCAGATGCTCTATCCACTGTGCCACCTAGCTGCCCCTGAAAATGTTTAATTCTCAGGCAAAGACTATGGAACTTACTATTATTACAAGAGACTCCAGTATGGGCTGGGATCACTATCTTTTTCTGGGCTCCTCCAAATTTTGATGATGTGTTCTATAAGTCTTTTTGGAATAACTAATTAATCTTACCTCATTCCAATTAATCACAGCTTCAGTAAAAAGTAATATCAAGAATATTGTTTTACTGTCTTTACGTATGGAATTAAAGGGAACCCAATGTAACTATATTACCTTAAATGGAATAGAATTTCACTTAAAGAAATTCTATAGCAAAGAGTCAGAGTACAAGTCCCATAGAAAAGGAGCAGAGCACATGCCCAGCTCAAGGGGAAGTGCCCTAGGGCAACAAATCAGGAGTTCCCCCCACCATTATCCCTGTTACATCAACTTTAGTCAGACTTCATTAGAAAACTGAACTCTACAGCCAAGCTCCTCTACTCAAGAGCTTTAAAGATTAAACAATCATAAGAGCATAGATTTAGAGTCAAAGGGACTTTGGATAAGTTCAATCTTATTTTACAGATGAGGAAACTGAGATTAAGTGACTTGCCCCAGGTCACGCAGGTAGCTGTCATGCAGCTTTCTAACCCACGTAGGTTTTCTGACTCCAAATAGCTTGATGTATTTCAAAGTAGAGCCATGAAGATGACTGATATTGTAACATATAACCTATGAAGTAAGATTAGCAGTAAAACCAGCTCTCTGAAAAAGAAACGTACACCCAAAACACTTTTAGGTTTCATCTGCATTATTAAATTTTCCTCCGTCACTTTAAGGCTAGAGAAGCAGCAAACCAACCAAAGCCTAATTTGTACCATTTGCTGATTCCAGAGGTGTAAATCTTCACACTGAAAATTTAAAGATAGGCTGGCTGGTTCTAGCACACACCTGGAACATGGAGGCAACAAAAGAGACTGAGAGGCTGTCAATGCGCCCAGCTCTCTAACCTATGGGTTCAAGGTCTAGGCTAGTGACAATCAGGGAAGAGATACTTTCACAGGATTACAAATCTTGGGGGATTGACAAATTATCTTCTGGTTCCATGTGAACATTTGCAGAAGGAAGAGAAAGAGAGAAAACTTCAGTGTTTCACAGAGGGCCTAGACGCCTTTGATATCATTTACAATCTTCTCTCTCATGGCATTGTATTTGTAAATAGGATACATCAGAGCTTCAGAGTCACTAGAATGATGTAGTCCCAAACTGTGGCCAAATTCATGCACAGCAACAGCAAACAGATTAAAGTCTGAAAGAAAATACAGTTGGCCCAAAACAATCTATGCCATGTGAAACTTTGAATAAGGCTTCCTTTGAAAAAAAATGTATCTGCTTGTTATCTCTCTTCTTCAAAATCTATTCTTTGCTAATCAGTGAGTCAGAACTTTACTAAAAAACTACATCAAATTTGGGGGGCTCCTCTCCTTTCCTCCCATAACTGGAAAGAGGGAATGGTGGTAAAGCTTATATACCCAAACTAGGATCAGAGATCTACTCTGATCCTGGTAAAAGCCAGTCAGGTCACAATGTAATGATTAATTCTGATACCTGAAAACTAAGTTGTCACACAGTCTTGAATAGAAGAAAATTTATGTTCACCTTGTGTTTGGGAGAAACAAGTTGACTTCCCTGGGGAAAACTGCTAAGGAATGCATGTGCAGTTCTAGTCAAATCTCGTTAATTTGAAACCCATAAATTTTGAACTAACTGACTCACAGTTGATCTTTGCTCTATGAAAAAATGCAATAATGCAAACAATAAGAAATGTTAAATCTGAGAGATCAAATATTTTCTAGTACTTTTACGTATAAACAGGATATGTGAGGATTACAAGTCATTTATTTATCCAAATAAATACAATGAAAACTATTTGATCACAATTTGCTGAACAATTTAAAAGAATTTATTTTAAAATATCATGTAAATCAGCCTTTTTCATCAGTTCAAAGTGGCTTTTCCCTTTTTCTTCCTCTAGCCTGTCTCTTCTGCCTTATACCATTATTCTCCATTAATGAGATTGTGTAGCAAGACCCAATGTAGTAATCCATCAAGTTACCACAGAGGTGTGTTTCTTGTACCAGACCAAAATCAAATTGTCCTATTCATCCAAGTAAAATGGAGGAGTTAGATTTCAGATATTCACCTAAGCCACTTTTTGTTTATCTGTTGTTACAGTTC